TCTGTATCTATTTCTCTATGCTTTGATGACCCCTGATCGAATACATCTTGCATATCTTACATAAGTTGTACCAATGTATCTGTATCTATCTGTATATATACTTTATTACAATGCATTTTATTTCAATGTATCAAACCTCTGTATCAAACCTCTCTGGATACTCCTGACCTCTGTAACTGTCAAACTAGTTCCCACACTACATTCTTGCATATCAAAGTATACCAGCTACAATGACCTCTCAGACCCTAGAAACAGGAAGATCTCTCACCACAAGGAGATAGCAGTTTAGTTTCCTTTACGTAAAAAATGTACCATTTCTTCCTCCAAGGAACACGGTAATTTAGAAGACAAATGGGCACAGATCGCCCATCGGAATCTGGAGGAGGAAACAAACCATTTACATTTTGACACTACTGGGAGAAACATTATTCCTGAAGGCCATATATTGAGGCCCAGGCATTGCAACATAAACATATCAATAAGATAAGGAAGACCAGGGAACATCTTCTTCAGACATGCAGTCACATTTGGGATATAACATGACCATGGGTCAAGGGAACATGGGGGCACAGTATGGATATTCAGGTATAGCCAATAAGCTATGCCAACAGAACATCTTTGACCCAATGTGAAGGAGGTTCCAAGTTTGAGGTCCAAGGAACCAATGAGAATATTCCGATTTATGGCTCTTTGTGTAGAAACCTTATAAAATATCTATGCACCCCTCTCTCGGGGCCTTTTCTCTGCCTTTAAGACAAAAGGTCCAGCTGTACTTTTCTAAATAAAATTGGCTTTTGTATCAGCTGTCGTCCTCGCCGGGGTTCCGAACCTAAATTTCAGGGCTAACAAAAGTCTTGGGTATCACTTTGCCTATTTGGGAAATTAATGCAATGATCCTATAGTTATTGTTCTCTTGGCATCTCTTTACTTGGGGACTGGAAAGCAAATTGAACTTTTCTGGTCTGTGGCCATTTTGGTCTCTATTGGTATACTCTTGTCTTGTGAGATGGCAGAGTGTGTGCAGACACAGGGGTTACCGGGAAGCATGAAAAGATGGGGATTTTTTGTGTGTAAAGTGCACTTTGCCAGTAGCATCCCATCATCAAAAAAGCAGTTGCTCCATCCATTGTCTCATTGTTGTTTTTTCACCTTCAGCTTCTGTGGCCTGATAATCAACCCAGACATCTCTCATGACCCATTGCTGACTCTCAGTACACCAGCCCCTAGTATAGGAATCTCTAGTTTAGTTGACAGCAAACCCAACAATAAATAATCTACATAGACTGAACAGGATCATATGTTGCAACCTTGTAACCTTCCATGCCACTGATGGATGTGTATTAAATTGCTGAAAGGACATTATATCAAAATGACCATGTTGGTAGAAAATAATCACTAATGACAACCATTTAACATAATTAATTTTTTTTTATCTCAGAGATCCTTTATATCTTTGGGCAGATTTTCAGCAGAAAGGTAACATTTTGCACTAAATGGGAAGGAATTAATCCTTAGTAAATTGGGAATTATTTAGCTCGATAAGCACACCAGACAGACGGGATATAAAAACAATATTATAGCTGTCCTTCCGAGTCTTAGGCTCAGAATATATTACTGCAACATGACATATTTGTCCTGTATCCCCCATTTCCCCCACCTTCTACCGCTATTCCTATAAGTGTTTATGTTGCTGCAGAGGAGGTGAGCCTGTCCTCTGATACTATTATATAGTCTGGTTTAACACAATAGTGAGGAGACAGGCAGCTTTCAGCCACGATGCTTCATCAGAAGAAACTAGTTTAGTCAGTTTTTTACTGTTTTATATTATGGATTTATGCTATTTGTATCACCCCCCATTGTCAACTAGAAGTGCCTTACATGATCATGAAATAGTAATACATTGATACAGAACACAGTCTTAACCCCTTAATGTTGCAGTGCAGAGAAGGCTGAAATGGCATCTCCACCCATCCCTCTGCTTTTCCCTTAGGTGACTGAACTGCTGCAGCTGACAGTAAGTCTTGAAACCTGGTCTTCCCTGCAGGGAAGACAGGAAGAACCTGGCTTTGAATCTTTTAGGTCCCAAGCCACTCTGTGCTCCACAAGAACCCTAAAGGGGGCATGTCACCATCAGCAGCCTAGGAGCTGAAACAACTAATCCCCATCCCATCCCCACTGTCAGTGGAAACAAAATTATAAATGAATGGACCTGAAAACCCTAATGAAACCACTCCACCACCTTTCACTTGGGCAGGCAGAAGCCACCAGGGCTCAAGATAAGGCACTAGACTGGTCCAATCACTTCCTAAGAAATAGACGGCTCAGATAGTGCTGATATAAACAAAATAACAAACCAAAGGAAAATAACAGAAAAGGTGGTATGAACAACAATTCCCAGTTGCTAGTACTAAATGTTGGCACACATACACACAAAATGTGCTTTAGTCATGCTGCTTCTCTTAACAGAAGCAAATGAAGAGTCTAGGTGGAAATGATGTACAGAGGCAGCTTCTTAGCCTTAAGACCTTGCTGCTTCTAGTAGCAGCTCTGACTTAAGGGTGACAACTGAGCTTTCCCTGAAATGCTGCACTTCTCATATGGGAAGAGGCTTTTTCTAAGGACAGCACTTCCTGGTGGACAGCTCCTGGTGCTACCAAAGGCATTTTGCCCAGCTCTTTCCTCTTTGTCCCTTCCAGATTTTCTGTGGTAAGAAGAAAGGCAGAAGTAGTGATACATTAAAAATAATAATAATAAAATAAGAACAAATGCCTGAGGATCTTAAATAAAAGGCAACGCCAGGACCTCCACCCCAACCCCACCCTATTAGCATTATGCCATTCAGAGCAACTGAGCAATAAAACACTTTACAGGAGAGACACCAGTGATTTTTCACACTGCAAAGTCATTGTTTTTCCACAATCAGCAGGAAGTGGAACCAGAGGTGCTCATTAATATGGTACTTACTATTGTGCATAATTATCCCATAAGCCCTTTCCCTATTGGTAACATCTCTCTCTGTGTGGGGAATACCTGTGTACCTCTTTTGCCTGAGGGAACGAGGAGCAATGTGTGATCCAGACTCACTACTTCAGCCCTCTGGAGTTGAGAGTGATTGGTGCTGGCCGATTGCACGGCCTGTGGCTACAGTCCTACACACATCCCTGCACATAGGGGGAAGCACGGGAGACACTGAATCCTGCCTAGGATTGGACCCTTGCAGGATGTGGGCGCCGTGCTGGGAAATCCTGGTCCAAAATCCACTTCAGCTGCCAAGCGCTAGTAACCCCCTTCTCCTGCAACCCCATCCCTAGTATGGATTCATTAAAGGTAGCTAACCTTCCCAACAGGGCTGTTGGAAAGATCGCTGATGATGATTCAGGAGCAACACCCTTATGTTGATACTCGTAAAGACGTCTGGCTTTCCACCCGCGCTTCGCCGGTGCTGCGAATTGGTCCGCAAGCCGCCGCCCCCCCGCGTGGGTTCCCTCCCGCAAAGGGCACGCACACCCGGCTCCCCCCACTTCTCGCCCGCCTGCCCGCCCCCCCTCTCCCTGGCGTGCTGGCTGATGACAGCGCGATCACAAGGGAGCCGGAACAATCCCTCCTC